TCCCATATTCTGGGACCAGACGACGGACGGGGAGCTGATCGCGGCGGCTTGGAAGATGGGGGTGAAGGTGCGGCGGCGGGGAGGAGAGGAGGACGACGGGGGTTTGGTGACGAGGGAGGAGATATCGGAGCTGGTGAGGAGATTCATGGACTTGGAGGATGAGGAGATGAAGGAGATGAGGGGAAAGGCGAAGATGATTCAAGAAACATGCCGGAATGCTATGGAGGAAGGCGGTTCATCTCATCTTAATGTTGATGCCCTCATCAAAGGAATCTTATGCAACAATCATTCTTGTTCATTCATTGATTTGTGACTCCTATATCATCCTCTAGGTTGGACTTGAGAAACTTACCTCAGTAACACTAAATATAATGACTTTTTAAATATAAGATTATATGCTCTTATTTCCCAATATAAGTTGTCATTATTCAACTAAATGTTCATCATTACTTGACATTATCCTTCCACTAGGTCATTATTAAATTTTATTTACGGAATAAAAAAAATTCAAATCTTACATTAAGAAAGTCATTATGTTTTAGTCCTATTTAGTTCAAATTTCACTTTTCTAAAATACGGAGATGATGAATACATATAAAGATAATACTAACAAAAAGAAAATAAAGAATTATGATAATAATACGGAGTAATAAAAGAAGAAAGGTAAATAATACCATAAGGTGATTTGATAATAATATTGAACTAATAATATTGAATTGATCAATAATAGATTTATTTAAACAATGTAACGTGAAACATGAATTTTATTTTAGAATTAAAAAGAGCATTATATTGTTCATTTGCCCATAATACTCAAGAAATTGAGAAAACATACTAGCTAGTAGCTACTAATTAAGCACACACTTACAACCCTTCTTAATTATATTCTTATCCATCCATTCCTAAGTGAAATGGATAAAGGTATTGCTTTTTTTATTGTAATATTATAATAATGCATCAAACAATCAAGGCTTAATCCAGCACATTATCGTGTTTCAATTCATTGCAACAAATTCCATATCTCCAAATGGATTCTTCATTGTCTTCCTCGAAACACCATTACAAGCTGCATTCTTATCCACGAAAATCTTCATTCCTTCGTTCTCGAGCTATAATGCGCAAAAAATAATAATAATAATTTTAAATATGTGAAAATTGCATTAACTAGTACTATGTATTAAAACATACTCCATCCGTCACCAAAAGAAGTTACCTTATTGACTTTTTAGAAAAATTAAGAAGGATATTTTGGTGTTGACTTTTCAAAAATATCCTTAATTTGATGGATAAAAGTAAGATCTGATGGATAGATTATTAGTAAAAAGGTATGATTTAATAGGTAAGGTATGAAAATGAAAGGGGTAAAAATGAGTTTTTAATAGAAAAGAGAACATCTTTGTAGGATAAAGAAAAAACGAAAAGGGAGAACTTCATCACGGACGTACGGAGTATATTTTTTTCAATGTAGTACTTATATTTTTCTATTCTCTAAATAGTAATTGAATAATGTCTAGTGGCATGAATAATATCCAGTGATGATGGACATTTAGTTTAAACAATGTCCAGTGACCAGTGGACATTGAACAGTGGTACCATATTAAAAAATAAAAATATATAATACTCCATTATGAAAATCATTATGTTTAGTACTCCCTCCGTTTGCAAAAAGACTTTCCATTGTGATTTTGGGACAAAAATAAGGAAGTATTAAACTATACTCCTTCCGTCCCATAAAGTGTTACCCATTTTGACTAAAGTTGAAATTAAGGGATGGATAATTTTATGTTGACTTTCCAAAAATACCCTTGATGTGATAGGTAAAAGTAGGATGTGATGTGTAGATTATTAGGAAAAAAGTATGATGTGATAGGTAGAGTTTGAAAAAATAATGTGTAAAAGTGGTTTTTTAATGGGAGAAAGACCAAAGTAGGACTAAAACTTTGAAAATATACCAAAATAGGACTTGCATATTTTTATTCTCGAAATAGGAATTACATTACAAATCATGGTCATATACATTACCAAAAACATAGAAATTTGCATATGTACACTGTCACATTACCACAATGCAAGTTCACATTACCACTGTGCAAAGTCATATTCCGGGAAAAAAAACATGAGGGTCCTATTTTGGTACTTTTATCTATGTTTTAGTCCTATTTAGAATGATTTCTATTTTTGAATAGAAATGGGTAAGGAATTTTGGGACACAATTTTTTTGAAACGTGTAAATCTTTTTGGAACGGATGGAGTATTTGATTTCTAATTTTGCCCCTGATGTGATGCGTAAAAGGAAGATGTGATGGATAAATTATTAGAGAAAAAGTATGAAGTGATAGGTAGGGTAGGAAAAAGTAAGGGTAAAAGGGGTTTTTTAATAGAAAAGGGAAGTGTTTTGTTGGAAGTGAAAAATATAAAAGAGGAAGTGTTTTTGAGAACGGGGAGAGTATTATATAGGCAAATTCTCCTTAAAAATATAGGGAGGGAGTAGGGTTAGGGTTGGGGTGGTCGGGGGGTTAGAAGGAGGGATATGGAGGTAAGAACCATCGTTTTTACGAATGGGACATCATAGGTGTCCCAAACAAACTGATGTCAATTGCCTACACCCTAATCCTTCCCCTAAACCGGCACACCCGATGGCCTAAGTAATATATACTTCCTTGTCCCAAAATATTTGCCACTTGTTTTTTCACCAGGCACGAGAACTTTTAGTTTGTTTGTTTCTATGTTTTCATTGGTTTTTTGATAAATAAAATATTCTTAACACCTCTTATTTCAAAATTAAAAACTTTTCAAGTATTTTTTGATATATAAATTTTATTTTTTTATTTTAATACTAATATGTAAATACAATAATTTAAAAAAACTTGATATTTTTTCTCGTGAATACAAGTGTGACAAATATTTAGAGACATGGAGTATATTTCTATAAATAAACTAAGGAGTATATTTCCTTACTTTTTTCTTTTCATCGTTACCGTAGATGTAGAACGAGAATAAAGCCTCCTTAGAACCAAAATAAGTACTGCCGGTTGACTTGATGTTATCCCCCAATTTTATCTGGTAATCATCTCGGCATGTCCAACATCTTCCATAATGAGGCTGATGATGAACAAAATCAATTGCATCATATATCATAGAATTGTTTCTGAGAGACATGAAAGAAATGATATATACTCCCTCCTTCAAAAAAATTTTCCTTTCTTTTTTCACCCATCCCTAAAAAAAATACTCCCTCCGTTCCACAAAATCCTTCCTCTTACATTTTTTTTGAATTCCCTAAAACACTTCCACTTTCTATTAAAAAACAACTTTCTTACTTTTTCATACCCTATCTATCACATCATACTTTTTCCCTAATAACTAATTAAACTATCACATCTTACTCTTACCCATCACATCAGGAGCAAAATTGGAAAGACAACCAAAATTATACTTTCCTTATTTTTACCCAAAGTCAAAAGTGGAAGAGTTTAAAGGAACGGATGGAGTATTTTTTATTCCGTATTTATATTAAAAAATTACTTTTATCCCTACTAATTTTTAACTTACTTATCACATCACACCTACTCCGTAATAATCTATCCATCAAATCTTACTTTTACCCATCACATCCAAGGACATTTTTAGAAATTCAACGCCAAAATACAATTCCTTTAAATCCCTTAAAGATCAAAATCTCCAGTGTTAGGGAGGGAGTATGACGAAGATAAAGTAAAATAAATATAAACCATGCAGATAGATATGGTTAGTAGTATTTACAACTCTCTCTTTTGTTTGCTTGGGTTATTTTTACCGTGATATAAACGTGGCCATAGTACTGTGAGGGTGCCCAGGGAAGTACAGAAATAGCTACTCGAGCAGAGTTCTGCAGAAAGCAAGGGGCATCCCAAGTTCCGGTTGTTCCACCAAGATACACAGTTGCCACTTGTTCATAGCCAAGAGTGAGGGCGGCACTGCTGGTTTCGTTTGAAGAAACCCTAACAATGAAACACAACACCAACGTTGTTGTTATTATTATTGCTGCAGGTGATGAAGAAGAAGAAGAAGAAGGAAGAGGCTTATTATTCATTCCCCAAAAACCCATTCTCATTTTCACCCAATTATCTTACTAACTCTTGTATATGTGTCGCACACACTCAGTCACTCCCTATCTAAACCCTGCTGCCCTATATATATATATATACTCCCTCGAATGAATATTGAATGTTGTAAATATAATTAAATGACTCGAATTAAAATATTGTGAATCTCGTGAATGATAAATTATTGAATTGAATATATGTTATGTGCATGATATGAAATGATTTGATTATGAATTGAGATTCAGTTTATATGGATCTTCGATGAATTAGATATCCTTATGCAGCTTCAACGCTGAGCGAGTAGTATGTTTTATTTGTTACACGCAGGAAAACAGAAATAATGAAGTGATGTATTCCTGGCGGCAATGTAGCGAGATTGTTGGGATGGATGCGACAATTTAAATTATGATTTCCAAAATACTGGAATAATTATTTGTGATTGATATGTGACATATTTTAATTCGCTTCCGTAATACTCTCTCCGTGACATATTTTAATTCGCTTCCAAAATACTAAAATAAATTTCACAGTTGACTTTTTACGGTCTCTAATGTGACACTTTGACTATCAATATCTCAATTTATATATACATATATTTTATAAAAATTATATATTTCAAAACTATGTTTCAAAATGAATCTATTGTTAATAAATTTATATAAAAATTCAATGTATTTTTTCCGTAATTTACAGTCAAAGTTTAAAAAGTTTGACTACAAAAGTCAAACTGAGAAATTAATTTTAGGACGGAGGTAAACACTCTGCATTATTACTGTTTATATATTGAATATTATTTATGATAAATAAAAATATTTGAAATGTTTTAAATTTTGCGATTACCAAATTTATACTTTAGTCCGAAAAGGGTTACAGACCTGGACGGAGTAAGGGATTACAACTACTTAGTTCAAAAAAATTAAATTTCAAATGCAAGATCGAGCAAAAACAAATCTCACATACGTGTGACATATTGTGTTAGAGTATAAAAATCTTTCGTGTGACATAACTCCAACCTTGAAAATTTGGTAGATTTAATTCTTTGACAGTAAATATAAAAAACTTTCGGTTATATAAGACTAATAATAAAAGTTACTCTATAAATAAATAATTGTGGTCCTATTTCATTTAAAAATGGTCCATGGTTCACATCAATTATTTGCTGGTGAGATTTGATTTCATGGTGAGTTTGAAAATAATTAATTTCCAATCAGTGTTAGAAAGGATTAAACATTCTCGAGTAGTGAAGGTCGGATTTTTTCAAATTCAAACCGTAAAAAAATTTCAAAGGTAGATGCAGTAGCGTTCAAAAAAAAAATAAATCTACCATTTTACCATTTTAAAATGAGGAATTTACCTTAATAGCACTAAAAGCATTACATATGTTTTTTTTTCAATATAGCACTTTTAGTCATTATCCATTAGTCATTATTCAAGTAAATGTTTGTCATCACCGATCATTATAAACATTATAAAGTGCTATTTAGGGAAGAAAACAATCTAAGTGCTATTTAGAGAAATGATTTAAGTTTTAATGTTATTTAGTGTAAATATTTCTTTTAAAATCTATACCAACATCAAAGTTAAATTAATGAGTGGAAATTTAGTAGATTTAGAAAAATAAAAGCGCAAAATAGTCATTTTTTTGGATAAATTTAGCAAAACACTCCAATTAAATGGTGATTATTCATCTTCACCGATGAAACAATATATACTTCCTCCCTCCAGCGCCTAGTGACCCTTTGTCGTCCCGTGAGCCAGAGCCTCCAACGTCCATCAAGCCTTTGATCACCGTCTAGTGAGCCTCTAACCTCCGGTGTCCGGCCAGTGGTCGTCCGCCATCTAACAATTTTTATAAAACTCTGATGGTATTGATTATTCTTATGTGTCTTTTCATTGATTATTTGATAAAATAAAACACTCATGTCATCTCTCGTTTTGTACGTAGAACTTTTGACGTATTTTTTTAATATTTATTTTCAATTTTTTATTGATGTACGAATTTATAAATAAAATGATTTCAAAAGTAATGAGATTTGAACTCGTGATTCCCAATTTGTAATTGAATCTCGAACAGAGGGAGTGCAATATCTTTATTTTTTAAAATTTACATTCCAACTTACAACAACCCCGATCCCTCCTGGCTGGCTCTGCACCCTCCGTCCCCAATTTGATTACAAATTGCGGGTTACGGAGTAAAATTTTTTACTTTTTAAAATCATTTTATTTACAAATTGATATATCAATAAAATATAAAAATTACATATTAAAAAACTACGTCAAAAGTTCTACAAAATGAGAGGTGACAAGAATATTTTATTTTATCAAATACTTAATGAAATCGCTTAAATAAACAAAAGTTATCGAGGGGAGAGAGAAAAAAAATTGTAATCTATTTAGGAACGGAGGGAGGGAGGGAGTATGTTATAAAGGATGCTCGTCATGTGAAACTGAGACTACAGGCTAGTAGCACAAAAGTCCAAAAGTGATGGGTGCCCATTTATCTGGACGGAGAAATGCTAGACATTGAAATGAATTTTGGATTAAATTCGAAAGAAATTTAGTTTAAAAAAAAGGAATTTGATTGACTTTATTCAATTCCATATCTAATTGCATCTCTTCATTTAAATCGTGAATGCAAACAAAAAGGCATCTTGAAGTATTAAACATTACTCCCTCAGTCCCGGAGTATTCGTCCAGTTTTGACTTTTGGAACTGTTCATCTAAGCACTTTGACTCATCAAATTCTCTCAATGTGTAAGCCTAAATATAGTCATGTGTGATCTTGTTTGATTTGTCTTAACATATAGATTATTAATATATAATTTCTATAATTTTTTAATATACAAATTACAAGATAAAATGGATTAAAGAAGTGTATTGGATAGTGTATAAAAATGAAAGTGGACANGAAGTATTAAACATTACTCCCTCAGTCCCGGAGTATTCGTCCAGTTTTGACTTTTGGAACTGTTCATCTAAGCACTTTGACTCATCAAATTCTCTCAATGTGTAAGCCTAAATATAGTCATGTGTGATCTTGTTTGATTTGTCTTAACATATAGATTATTAATATATAATTTCTATAATTTTTTAATATACAAATTACAAGATAAAATGGATTAAAGAAGTGTATTGGATAGTGTATAAAAATGAAAGTGGACAAATACTCTGGGATGGAGGTAGTATTTGATTGCAACTAAGGACGAAAATAAGGTGATATACTCATATATACATTGATTACGCCAAAAGCGTACTCCCTCTGCCCCTGAAAATCTTTCTTTTTTTTTTTTATCTGTCCCAAAAAATTTTTTTCATTTCTATTAAAAAGTTACTTTTACCCCTTACTTTTTCATATCCTACCTATCACATCATACTTTTTTTTACTAATAATCTATCCATCAAATCATACTTTTTTTACTAATAATCTATCAATTAAATCATACTTTTATCCATCACATCAAAAGACATTTTTGAAAATTCAATACCAATATACACTCCCCTTATAAATCTATTTTCAAAATCAAAACTTTCATGTTTTTCGGGACGGATTGGGTATATTTGTAGCATATTATTTTTGTCATCTCTCAAAAGAAGGTGTAACAAAAATATTTTATTTTATTGAAAATCAATAAAAATAAATAAATCCATTAAAATTAAATAACCATGATTTTGAAATAATACCCAGTGACGACATTCTTTTAGAGACGAAGAGAATATTTATTTAATTTGTCCTCTTTGAAAGCTTCATGAACCAGAATTATATTGTTCATATTTGTTTTAAAAGTCCAAATTTGTAAAGTTTTTAACGTGTAACATACACTTAACATTATCGAACTCCTTTTTGTTTTTAATTTTTCAAACAAACTTTAACACTATATTTGGTTCAAGGAATTTGAAAGGAAAAACAAAAGAAAATGAAATGCAAAATAGTTTTTCATGTTTGGTTATAGGGGAAAAGAAAGGAAAAATGGAAGGAAAAGAAAAATGAGAAGACAAAATGTACCAAGTGGAGGGAAAATTAAATTCCTCCCATTCTGGTGAGGAAAATAAGAGAAAACCATTTTCTTTTCTTTTCCTTCCAAATTTCTTGAACCAAACATAGTGTAAAGAAAATACATTTTCTATCTACCTCACGGAAAACTAATTAGCAATTTTTGTTTTACATATGGAGTGGTCTTCTTTTATCTGCTTGCTTTTTGTAATGTTTTTTTTGTGTTTTCAATTTATTTTGACAAACGGTTAGTTTATTTTTTCTATTTTCTTAAATGATACGAAGTATTTTTTTTTACAATGTTCATTTTTATTAATTAGACTTTCGTTAGCGATAAAGTTTAAATTGAAGTTATAGTATTTGTAAATAGTTAAACATATATTAGATCGCTAATATAAAAGCGTTTACTTTTTTCACACTTTTCATATTAATTTTTTTAGATATCATCGAAATCAGTAATTTTTTAAATTGGACTATTTTAACAAAATGTTGTTAAAAATTAAAAACATTTTAGTATTAAAACTAAAGTAACATTAAAAGTATAAGAAAAAACTTCAAAGACAGTTTAAAGTTATATAAAATAATTATTATACAAAAAAATAAAAGGAGTCCGAATAAAAAAATTTGTCCAGTTCAGTTTTAACTGAGTTTCGAGTTTGAAAAGATCCAAACCAAAAATGCACCCCCATGAGGGAGTACGTATTCAGTGGAATTGTGAAAGAGAGTGATTGGCCGGTGGCCATTGTACAGTTGACAAGACAAGGAGCATCAATGGGTTAACACCCAAGTTCAATTTCTGACAAATGCACGGAAAAGCAACTAAGTCATATTAAACATAGAATCTCTACAAGTATCAAATGCAAACTTCAGTTTTTGCTACAAATCTATGATCAAAGTTCAGTTTATCACTCTCGGTAATCTACTCGGCCAAGTTTGTGAGGCAGTCAGGGCTCACCTTTTTTTTTTTTTTTGTGGAGGAGAGTGAGTGAGTGAGTACTTTAGAGTTTAGACCTTAGAGTGGTCCTTGGGTGACATGGGTTCCTTTTAGTGGTTAAGGTTCTGCTCGTATTTAATTGTGAAACAGAAACCATATCATAAAAGTCAAGAAGTGATGGGCGCCATTTCATTTACT